TCTAAGGTGCCATAAGTACTCCTCGTTCTTTTTACAGAATAAGCTGCTTCCCATTCATTTCAGAGACTGTCCCCTTTGTTTTTACAACTCTATAGATTTGCTTCATCCTACCTGGTCTCTCTCTGCTCCCCATCCCACTCATCTAATAATAGCCTCTCGTCTTTCTTATCAGATAGGCAAGTTTATGTGCAATAACTTCTCTGTAGTTCCTGCCATCTCAAATAGCCTCCCTTTTTTGTAATTCTTTAATGGCCTTTGAGTTTTGTTAAATTTTTTATTATTTTATTATTTTGTTTATTTTTAAATTATTTTATTCACAGTGAAATGCCTTTATATTTTTTTTAGTAAATCTGATATATGGTATATTAACCCCACTGTCTTCTTTTATTTGCTCCCAGAAAGTGTTTTGATCAGAATTCTTCTTTCCTTCTCCACTCCCTATGCTGCTCTAACACTTCCTCTTGTATAATCAGTTACAATTCCCACATTTGCTTCAATAGAGAAATTAGACACTATTGGGATTTCTGCTTTCTAGTCTCTGTTAATATGTCATATACTTATTTCCTGCTTTTCACGTGCACATATGATTCAGAAGTTTGACCTGGATATTGCAGAGTTCCATCAGACATTGTATTTCAGTGCTGACTTACTCAAGTGTGGTTGATTTACTGGCAGAACATCCCGGGCTTCGGGTTAAATAAAAAGAATGCAAGCAACCCTATCTTCTGTGGAGTGGATGAATGTTAGCAGCATATCTTTCTCAGTTGGTAGAAAAGGTGGACTAGTTAAAGCAAAGGACAGTTGTTTACAGTGTACTGTGAAGCCCAATTAAAATATATTGCCTCTGACATTCTAATCACAGCAAGCGAGAACTGTGGTGTAAACCTATGTAAAGATTGAGTAGACAAGGGAACATTTCAACTAGGAGCATGGACAGTGCTGGGTCAGCAATTAAATGTGATCTGTTAACAAGGGAATTACACTTCTTCATTATAGCCAGTACTTTGCTGTGCTAGAAAAAAGTACAAATACACCCAAATGTAGGTTGAATTCTGCCATCCTTAATCTAGTAACTCTTGTTGATTTTAATGGAAGTTTTGCTTAACTCAGAACTGCAGAATTTGGGCCCTATTTTTTTAAGATGAAAACTTTCCACTAATCATTTAATTTTATCCTTTTTACTGGTTGTTTAGGACTCAGTCCTGCAACGTACTAAGCACTGTTTGGCGGTACTGACCAATCCAAATTCTGTTTACTTCAATGGGAGTTGACAATGCTCAACATTTCAGAGTGTTCCACGCATTGCTGATTCAAGCCCTTATTTTCTTGAAAAGTGTGTGTTGGGGGAGATGGGGTGAGAACAGTTCATCTTGAAGATTGTTTGAGTAAAGCATTTTTATAATAGTTATACTGGGAACCCAGGCTTTTAAAAGTTTCAGATTGTTTTGCAGCTAGAGTTATTCACTTGTCAGAAGAGTAGGTGATGAACTATTAAAATGCTTCCATTCACTGTATGAAGCTTGGTGTTTATAGTCATGAGCCAGTGAAAAGCAACCTGAGGAAAAACAAAAAAAGATTTTCTTACCATGGAGTTTGCACCATTTCTTTTAGTTCCTGTTTTTCTTGGGCATCCTACGAAATTCCCCTTTTCCCCAAGAGCTCAGAAGTATTCAGTCAAACATGAAGTTGTTCTTTAAAAGAAGGGAAAAAACAACTTTGGTTGCTAATATATGGACAATATCTGGTGGTACTTAAATATTTTTCTTGTCACTTTATATTGCAGATCATCTCTTTGTGCCATTGACCGCCCACATTGTGCTGCAGCACACCAATATTTGTGGGGTGGGGGAGGATTTGCCATTCATAACTGAATTAGAGAAATCTCCATGGATTTCTTGTTCTTTGTACTTGGAGCTTGTCTACATGGTACGTTAGTGTGCATCAACTGGGGTGTAAATTCTGCTGCGCACCACTGTGTCATGCATTAACTGTCCTTGTGGACCTTGCTGGTGCACACTAAAAGTTTCATTAGTGCATTGATGTAGCACTGTTTGAAATGGGACACACGCGTACATATTCACAGCTTTATTATTGCTTCTCTCTTTCAGAGGGCATCTATCCCCTGACTCTTTCAAATACTGCTCCAAAATTTGGGAATCAGGTTTTGTTTCCCTCTTTCCCTCTTTCTCCCCTGGTTGTGAGATGTAAATTCTGCCTTAAGAGCAAAATGGTGGGAGTTAGAGAATGTAAATAAAACATATAGATAGATAGATTAGATATAATCATAACACAGAGATTATATGTAGATGGATGTTACAATTTCTGTTCTGAGTCAGGCAAGGGACTGTTCTTTAAATTAATGGGAAAAATAATTGTGCTTCCCTATTTAAACAACAGCTGCCATTAGACCCTTAAACACTTCCTATGTAAATAATGCTTGTTGTGTTGTTAAACTGTTGTTTTTTTGCCTTCCTGTATCTGGAACATCATACTAATTTCTACAAGTTGTGACTACTAACAGAGAGCAATCACCTCACAGACTTGTACCGAAAAGAAGAGACCATCAGTGTCGGAGGAAATGGCTGCATCCACAGTCCCCGCTTCCCGAGTAGCTACCCCAGGAACCTGTTACTGACGTGGCGGCTGCTCTCGACAGAGAATACAAGGATACAGTTGGCCTTTGATAATCAGTTTGGATTGGAGGAGCCAGAAAATGATATCTGCAGGTGAGAGAAAAGCTATCCAGAGAGCTAATCATGTCATTTTAAAAATCAGCTGACCAAATGTCTTGCACGGTGCTTTGGAGGGGTCCATTAGGGATTCCGTTTCAGATTAACGAGCTATCTGGCTACCAACACTACAAACCAAACTCTCTGAATAAACTTACTTGCCTCAGGCTTGAACTGTTTCCTGTGACTTGAAGTCCTCGCGTGGTATTTTAAATGCAGCACACTCGAGTCTTAGGCACTGCTGGCTCCCTGCACAAATACCAAAAGAATGGGGTTTTGCCCACTGTAATTAAGGACAATGGATGTTTCTTTTTTCAGCTATGTGAAACACATTTTTTTTCAGTATGTCAGTATAGACAGCAGGGTATTTGCTGCGAGGGAAGGGGCAGACAGGGAAGAGCAAGGGTAGGGGAACAGTGTGCTGTGCTCTTGGAATTCTATGGCCAGAATAGTTGACTGGCTGTTAGCTCTCTTTAATTATTATTTGCATCTCCGTATGATTTGTTTTAAGTGTTTGAAATATAGCTCCAGAGTCAGCAGTCTACTCTGGCTGCTTTGTGCTACTCTGGTGAGGCAAAGCAGCTGTAAGCTCAGTGGACGGGGCTGGTTTGGCCAGGTTTATAGCTTTTCATCACCAGAACGTACCGCTGAATTTGGCCGATAATTAATAAAATAAACTAATTAAAATGTTTCTGTTGTTCATGTTTTTGTTATTCAGTATTTAGTGTGGGAGGGAAAGCCCAAAGCCTTCCCAGACACTTTCCAGGGCACATCTTCAGAAGCCAGATTGCTGTGTGGCAGCATTGGCACATCAGCTTCCAACACTCTGCCTGACTGTTATTACTTATTGCTACACCTATCCAGAAAAACTGTGTTGTTTTCTTTCTACTCCCACCCTCTTGCATGTCTTCTCCTGACATCTTAATCAATTAATTTGCATTTAGAGGGTTTGGTTAGTCTGTGTGGTTTTATTATTATTTTTCCATGTTCTGCATTACCAATGAACTGAGAGAACCATTCCAGTCAGTTTGTTTTCCAGTTAATGACAAAAGAATGCAGACTCAACCTCGCCATCCTTCTCTGCATGTTTATTATCTTGGCAGCTTTTACTCTGCTCTGTCACTGTTGGTGTGAGAGCAATTGCAGTATAATAGATACCTTCTAGGACCTCAGAGGCTATGCCGGAATGCAGAGACTAATGGTCATGGAAACAGCCTGTTAACATTCTGCATAGAGAATAAACTATGGCTGACCTTAAATCATTTCAGCCTTGAAACGTGGATCAAATTTACTGTGGAAAAGGATGAAGTGTTCTCTTGTAAAGGGCCATTAAAGGTGATGACATGGTGAGGGGAAGTCAAGTCATTATCGACATACTGGATTTTGACCATGGCTGTGGACAATCTGTCTGCTTTCAAAAGCTACAAATTTATGAAGCAGAGAAGCAAAGACCTTCCAGAATATGTAGTGCCCATAAAAGCTTGGAAAATATCCCAGTCTTTATAGAAATACAGCCTTACCCTGAGTTGTTGTAAGGCTTTTATTTACATGATATTATTACTAGAATGAGGACGTTCCCAGGGTATTACTTGGAATGATTTTCAAGCTTGTTAAAGACCCTATGGTAAGTAACATGCAATATTATTTTACCCCTTTGGAGAAACTGTTGGGGTTTGGTTTTTTTTAAAAAATCTATTTTTTTCCTCAATTTTACTTTCAGATGCTCTCTCTGGCCCTACTTCAGCAAAACATTCAAGCACATTCTTACATTAAAGCATGCACCTAAAGTTAAACACATATTTAAGTGTTTTGCTGAATGGACGGCTGAATCAGGGCCTCTGCTCTTTAGCCTCCTTTCTGCTGCTTTGGCCCTTACTCCTTTACCCAAGAATCTCCTGGTTGTTTACTTTCACATTTTTCATTAATGTTACTAATTTTAAGTTACTATGAAATTTAAATGGGCTGAAACTCATTTGGGGCTGGGAACTGAAAAGGAGAACTTCTTTACTTAACTTGTTGATTTAATCTAATCTGCTGTGCTGTCGTTTGAACCCATTGCCTCTTGTCCTGCCCTCAGTGGCAAGAGAACAACTTTTCTCCATCTTTTTTATGGCAGCCTTTCAAGTATCTGAAGACCGCTATCTTATCCCTCCCTCCCCCCAATTTCCTCTTTTCCAAACTAAACATACCCGGTTCCTTCAGCCTTTGCTCATAAACATCCTCTTAGCTCTCTGAACTACACCCCTCTGTCTGCCTTGTCTCCACCTTTCTGCCACAGGCTGAATGGAACACTTGGGGCCTGACCCAACTGCATTGAAATCGATTGTTGAAATCTCATTGTTGTCAGTAAGCTTTGGATCAAGACTTTGATTGCTGCCCTCTTGGTCATCCACAGCAAGACTGTGGAAAACTCAATAAACTATACAAGCTACTGACAAAAATGTATGGACAGTCTGATACTACTATAGCTATATGTAACCTATCTCAGTGGTTCTCAAACTTCATTGCACTGCGACCCCCTGCTGCCAACAAAAATTACTACATGACCTTAGGCAGGGGTGGGCTGGAGCCCGAGCCCCATCCCCCTGGGCTTCAGCCCTTGGGCTTCGGCTTCAGCCCTGGGTGGCTGGGCTCAGGCTTTGTCTTCAGCCCCAGGCCCCAGTGAGTCTAAGGCTGGCCCTGGCAACCCCATTAAAATGGGGTCACAACCCACTTTGGGGTCCCATCCCACACTTTGAGAACCTCTGACCTATGCTAACACAGTGTGGCTCTTTGTTCCCCTCTAATGGCTAGACTATGTATAGAGGTTTATGAGTCAATGAACTTAGTTAGCTCAAGCAGTGGTGGTCATGAGTTCAATCCCTGCAGATGACCTAACTAGAGGGGTCATTACATATACAGCCTAAATTCTCTGTGTCAATTAAGGTAATCATCCCAAAATGCCTCATTGCTGAACTACTATCTTGATCTAGTTCAAGGATCAGCAACCTTTGGCACGCGGCCCGGCAGGGAAATCCGCTGGTGGGCAGGGCCAGTTTGTTTACCTGCAGCGTCTGCAGTTTCGGCCGATCGCAGCTGCCACTGGCCATGGTTCGCCGTTCCAGGTCAATGGGGGCTGCAGGGATGTGCTGGCCGCCCCTTCCCGCAGCCTCCATTGACCTGGAACGGCGAACCGCGGCCAGTGGGAGCTGCGATCGGCCGAACCTGCTGACGCTGCAGATAAACAAACCGTCCCGGCCCGCCAGCGGATTTCCCTGACGGGCCGCGTACCAAAGGTTGCCGATCCCTGATCTAGTTTATGTCTGCCCAAAATCAAAATGGTTCTCTCCCTTACATAAAATTGTGTTAAATTTACAGGCTGTTTACTAGCTACATAAAACAAATGTGGTATGGTTATTTTGTAGCATGGATAAATGTCTGTAAAGGCATCCTCATTGCAGCATGGTAGGGAATATTGTACACTTTCACTCCCAATAGCAAAAAAACCCGACAAACAACACCACATACCACCACCCTAAGTATTGAAGGTTTTTAGAAAGTAACTTTCAGCTCAACATATCATGCACTAAACTAGCGTTTTCACCATCTGTAATTTTTAATCAAGTGTTTTGTAGTGGAAACCAATGTACATTTGACTAGTTTTTTGAGCAGTGTTCCTGTGTAGCGGCAGCAGCTTTATGTATTGAGAATGTATTAAATTATCAAACTGTTCTGCAGGTATGACTTCGTGGAGGTGGAAGATCTATCTGAAACTAGCACAGTTATCCGAGGACGGTGGTGTGGTCACAAGGAAATTCCTCCAAGAATAACATCCAAAACAAACCAAATAAAGATAACCTTCAAATCCGATGACTATTTTGTGGCTAAACCTGGATTCAAGATTTATTATTCCCTTGTGGTAAGTAACTTAACTACTCAGTGGGTACAAGACATGTCAGAGTGTGAAAGAACAGCAATATTTGGAGACTGGATGACATTGCTAACTACAGCTGATCACAACATTAATTAACTGTAAATACTTTCCTTCCAGCAACTACATAAGGCACAGATAAAAGCAGTTTTGACATCCTATTATTAAATATAAACTAAAGACAAGTCCATCACAAGACTTTCGCTAATAATATGTTTCAGAAACACTAGCACTTTCTGTACTGAGGCTGCAATTCCAGTGCACTGACAAACACCACAGCAATGACAGTTGAAGTAGTTGCTGTTTAAACTCCATTTTGATTCTCATTTGACATCAAAGAAAAGTACTGTCAGGGGGTTAGGACTGTGATTCTAAGCAAGAAGTCAGGAGTTTAATCCACATACAGTAAAATACATGTAGTACACTGTGTTAAGGGTCAAACTGTTGTTATAAACTCCATGGTTCTTTGTATTATGTAGCGGTATTGTCATAGTAGAACACATCGATTTGATGAGATGAAAGCCCTCTGTTTTTAAAGAAGCAGGAATATTCATTAGTCTTAAGTAGATTTTGAAACAAATGTGTTTTCCATGTATTGCCCTCAATAATGTTATAATCATTTTGGTGCAATATAGCTGAACAGAGGTGAGTTTTGCAATCAGGTGGTAACTTATTACCCTGACGTCATTAAGTTTTCATATCCTTCACAATCCAGATTTTTTTTTTATTCCATCCAGTGTTACGTATTCAGGCTTTCTTATTCCTGTTAGCAATAAGGTTAGATTTGTCCTAGGAAAAATCCAATATTTACACCATTTCACTTCAGCTAATGGCTTTTGTGTGAGCATGTACTATTGTACACTGAGCCCATTCCATGCCTAAATATGGGCGATATATAGTAAAGACATATTTAAGGCTGCAAATTCAGAGCCAGATGCTGCTTCCATGTATTTAAACACTGGGCCTACTCATGGAGTAAAACACTACTCTGTGTGAGTAAAGATGGCAGCATCTGGAGCTTGATTTGAAGGTAATCTAGCAAGACTAACATTTATGTTGTTGCAGTCCATGGAGTACCACAATGCATAAACATTTAAGCAGTTAAGTAGCCTCTTTTACATCATGTGTATTTAATATTTCTAGAAAACCTCTGTTACAATTAGCTAGCTTTACGTAGCGACCATGTACAGCTCGTATAGGACAGTTGGGTTTTGAGAAAATGAATGTTATCATTCAAGCAGAGGATATTCAGCACTAGAAAGCTCAAAGTGTAGTTGCTATACCTGTGTAATGCTTAGAGTGAGTAAACAGAATGTTGTGCCGTTTAGCTAGTGTATGTGAGAGAATATTCTCCAAACACAATCTTAAAATGAAATGTTCTTTTTCTCAAAATCTGCAGGGGACAGGTGGTAGTCATGGGATGAAGATTAAATTTCTTTTGCCGCTGTTCAAAGTTTAAATTGTCCATTCGAAGATCCATAGGATTAATAGTCAGCAGACTCAACCCTTAGGCCTGGTCTACACTAACCCCCCAATTCGAACTAAGGTGCGCAACTTCAGCTACGTGAATAACGTAGCTGAAGTCGACGTACCTTAGTTCGAACTTACCGCGGTCCAGACGCGGCAGGCAGGCTCCCCCGTCGACTCCGCGTACTGCTCTCGCCGAGCAGGATTACCGGAGTCGACGGCGAGCACTTCTGGGTTCGATTTATCACCTCCAGACAAGACGCGATAAATCGAACCCGGAAGTTCGATTGCCAGCCGCCGAACTACCGCGTAAGTGTAGCCAAGCCCTTAGATAGTAGTCTTCACAGTCTCTCAGGACTGAGTATATACAGTGGATATACTGCACGCCGCTGACCCCTGAAGGTTGAACTCAGCATGCATTTGCAGGCAGCAAGTTAGAAAATATTATTGGACCATGCATAAACATATGATGCATCAGATGAAATAAAATATATTTAAATTGTTTTTTTCTTTGCTCCACGGCCATTTCCATCATTAGGCTATTTTTTGAACTTTCTTGGGAAACCTTTCTGGTAACAAATGCACACAACTTTATTAAAAAAAAACAAAAAACAAAAAAACCCTGAATTAAAATAGACATTTTAGAGTTTGGGAGGGGGGTCGCTGCTGGTTATGTGCACCCTGCTCATCTCAATAATCTTTAGAAAAAAATCAAAGCAAGCAAACAGAGTTTGCCAGATTAATTGTATATTTTGGTCTTGATGCAGGAATTACTGGGTGAAATTCTGTGTGTTATGCAGATCAGACTGGATGGTGGATTCTGGCTTTGAAATCTATGAATCTTCATGGACACTAGTTAAATTCATTTAAACTGGTGCATATAAACTTGTTTGTCAGTTCACCACTTCTGCATGTGGCACAGATTGAGGCACTGCAATGCATATATTGTTCAACAAGAAGAAAGAGCTATGTCTGTTATCACCTCCTTCCATTCTTCCCATTTGGAGAAACAAAAAATAGCCATAAACAAGAAAGGGTCATTTTTACAAACAGGCTTTTCACATGCAACTACCAAAGTTGCACCTCTGCATATGCACATGCTCATGTAAAATGAGTCATTGTACATAAACAGGTACTTAGGCATGTAAAGGCCCAGTTTGTGCACAGATGTTGCATGCTCAAACTGCAAAACTATTGCAGTGCAATTGCCAGCTCAACATAGGCACCTATTTCTCCCTATATTTTCTTATAAAATCTCCTTTTTCTTCAAGCTTCACAGGCCTAGAGCAGAAGCATCAAACTAGTCTAGATATCACCCGTGCCAGCTCTTATCCATGAGCTGGATTTAGCTTGCAAAATTGTTTGAAATACCTCCCTTCCTTGTTCTTCTTTTCCACTGTGTGGTTGGTTTTTAAAAGGATTTTTAGGTGGTGGTAAGGAGGGGGGTGTTGCTTCACTTATTTCCCTTATAAATATAAATGCCGTGGTCCATGCCTAAGCTTATGCATACCTATGGGGAATCCTTAGGATCATCTGACTCCCATATTTTGTATAATTAAATTACTTTAAGTGTATAGTATTTGCATTGAAAATGAAGCACAAAATCTTCAGCTGTCATACCTGTCTTAACTTCAATAGAGCTACTTCCAGTGAAGGATCTGATTCATTGTTATATTGAGTTCAGTAAGCATTAGGTACACACGATCAGACACAATGTGATGTAGGGAGTTAAAATGAAAAATTGTATTGCTCACATGCAAGAAATCCCCACTCACATAAGTAGTTTCATACATGCCAGGGAGACTGCTTTTGGAAATGAGCAGAATCGGGCCCTGAATTTTAAAAACATACCATCATGAATGTATAAAGTAATAATCAGGAAGTAGTCCATGAACAAACTCCAACAAAATTAAAAGTTGATGTTTTAAATTAAAATTCTCAATCCTGCATCTGATTTTGATTAAATGGGATAATTAGAAAATGTTAAATTCCAGCTGATAATTAAAGTAATTATTTTTGGCTTGTTTGTTTTACAGGAGGCGTATATCCGTTATATATTGACATTAATACATTGTTATTGTATACCCTAAATGGCCTCTAAATTCAATGCATATTTGGGAACTTTGATTTTAAGTATTACTGGCAACAAATGTTCCAACAAAGCTAGAAAATGTATTAAAAAAGGAAAGTCAACAGAGTAAGGCATCAAAACAAATTCCATTTTTATTTTAATTTTTGTTCTGCTCTTCTCTGTAATACCATTTAAGAAATATGAAAATAGAGGGGTTTTAAACCAGTTTTCATTTTTTGTGGCTAATATTGCAAACCGAATCTGATGTACCTCATTGTTAATGGGGAGTCACTCCACTGAAGTCTGTGGAATTATACCAATATAAAACTGATTGGGGTGTCGCTACATCACATCTAAAGTGTTTTTTGTTTGTTTCAAATGAAACTTCTTTTATGGAAGAGTCCAATAGAATTTCATAGAAATGAGAAATTTTGAATCTTCCTGGGGAATTTGATAGAGAATTATATTCTTCCTATTAATACAAGATACACACTCCCTGTCTGATTATCTAGTAATAACACTAGTCAAAAAACAGAAAGAAAAATCACAGACATGTTCATCAAAATTAATTACTGTTTTTTGTCAGATTTTTGATCAGCTCTGATTAGAAGACAAATGAAGTCCAAATGCTGGATTTAAACTGTTTGGCACTGTCCCATTAAGACTTTCAAATAAACACCAACAAACTAAGCGTATTTAGGCCATGTCTATGCTTACTGGGGATCGACGCTGCAGCGATCGATGCAGCAGGGGTCATTTAGTGGGTCTAGTGAAGACCCGCTAAATCAACCGCAGAGTGCTCTCTGGTCAACTCCGGTACTCCACCGGAATGAGAGGAGTAAGGTAAGTCGACAGGAGAGTGTGTTGTACGCATTGCAGTAATTCGACCTAAGCTATGTTGACTCCAGCTGGAGTAGGGTAACTTAGGTCGGCTTATCCTGGTAGTGTAGACAAGGCCTCAGAAAACAAAATAAGGTCCTGATGCTGCCACTCCTACTCAAACAAATGCCTCTCTGTCAAGTCGCATTGTCTTCTGTGGATCTAATCATACAAATGATGATTGCAGGATCAGGCTGCAAGGTTTTTAATTAAAGTAGTAATAACTGTCATCAATAACAACTTCCTTAAAATTTTTAACATGAAAGCAAAACAATTCACTTATCTTAGTTGGCTAGCAGTGCAAATACAGATTCAGAAATTTTGAGCCCAGAAGAGACCTCACTAGCTTGTCCTCCTGTATATCACGGGTTATAGAATTTCATCAGATCAAATGCAAATTGAACCAATTTCTGTGTAGGGCTGTGTGGATATTTGTCCTCTATGCTTTGGTTTAAGTGGTTACTTTTTTTTTTTGCAGGACAGACACTTCATTGATGTCTCCAAGACAAAATAGGTTGCCTAGAAACCTACATAATATGTTGCATGTGAAAATATATATGATAATATTGTG